CCTCAGGCCCAGGCATGTGTCTCAGCTCCCACCTAGTGTCACCGAAGCACGTGGGCTGGCGGGGGCCCGGGGAGCGCCCTGGGGCTGAATCTCAGGAAGGGCAGCCCAGACCTTCACAGGGTCCAGCAGGCAGGGCTGGGCTGTCTGTGCTGGAGGCCGGAGCTGCCCCTGGGTCGGTCCCAGGCTGGGGAGCGGACGCCTGAGGGACGGTGCCAGGGGGTCGGTGAGGGTCTGGCCAGGAAGCCCCCACTGGGCCGCGACTCGCGTCGGAGTGACCAGGCCTATCTGAGTGGGAGACGGACGGCGTGAGGGCTCTGTGCGGAGCCTGCGGCCCAGAGGCATGGCCGTCCTGCTAGGCCTCAGAGCAGCCCAGGGCTGGATGGGCATCTCCCCTGGGGGCCCCCAGTCTTCACTGGGTGGGGTAAGTGTAGACCATGTCTGCTGCCTCCTTCACCCCAGCTTTGACCACTGAGCCCGCCCTCTGCTTCCACCCCCTCTGGGGGTGGAGGTATGGCCGTGGTGGGGGGGTGTCCTTGCACGGATCCCGCCAGCCCTGGGGGGCCACTGCAGGTCAGCTCTGCCGTTGGGTAACCAAGTGTTCCTGAGCTACAGACGGCCCTCCATCAGCGTATCCAGCCATGGCCCTGGGCAAATACTTCCCCAGAGACACTGTCATGAGGCCTAAAAATAACCCCCAAACCCAAGGACTGTGCATTACCCAGGCCCCCCAGGAGAGCTTCCCCCAGGCCTGGGTAGCCGTGTGGGGCTAGGACCACGGTGAGGTCAGCATAGGGCACAGAGGACGCCCCTGGCCAACAGGTCCCACCCTTGCCCCCTGCACCCCGCCAAGCCCTTCCATGTGCCCGCTGGATGTGGCAAGGGCTCTATTGAGCGCCCTGGCCTCTGGGACACCTGGAAGGTTCTCACACCTTACGCTGGTGCCAGGTGTGGGGTGGGGTCCGTGTCCCGCCTTCCCAGCCCAGCCAGGGGGCCCGGTGCCCTGAACAGGCTTGGCCCTGTGGGAGTCCCTGTGTCCAGAGCCCACCTCCCACCGCCCCTGCCCACAGGACAGCCCTGTGGCTGTACGGCCTGGCCCTCTGCGCTGCACCTGCTCATGAGCACTTGCCGCACAGCCTGGCATCCCCTGCGGGCCCTCAACCCCGGGCTCTGAGGACACAGGCCAAGGCTGTGCTGCCCTCGCCCTGTGTCCTGCCTGCATGTCCCGTGTTCCTGACCCCTCTCCTGTGCCCCACATCCTGCATTCCTGTCCCAGTCCCCTGGCCTGACCCCAGGACAAGGCTCTGATCTCCTGCCAGGCCGTCCCGACCCAAGTCCTACGAGGGTGGGGTTGCCCCCTGCCTCTTCACTCTCATCAGCCTGAGCGCCCCCCCCGGGACAGCTGTGGGATGAGCCTCCCCTTTGAAGCCGGGATGGCCGGGAAGCGTGCGGCGGGGGGGGGGGGGGACCTGCCCTTCCAAGTGCTCCGGGCTTCACGGGACCGGCTTATCACCACATGGGGACAGATCAGAGGGAAGAGTGCTGGCCCCGCTCAGTACTTGGGGTTCCATCCACCCGGCACACCACACCCCACCCAGGATGCCAGGAGCATCCTCCTGAAATGGCCCGTCACAAGTCCCCTGTCCAGCCTGTCCTGGGGTCACTCTGAGGACGCTGCTGGGTCCCTCCCCTCTGTCTCCAAACTGGGAGCTCCCACGGCAGGGCCCAGGCCCCACCCTGCAGAGAACCCCACAGAGGTGGGGGCACCAGGTGTTGTCTTCTTGTTGGTGGTCCCCACAGCTTTGGAGGCGGCTCACTGGCCTTTCTGCCCAGGCAGGGGTGAAAATGGAGGAGCAGGGGAAGCCCACCTCCCCACCCACCCCTCCTCTCTGTCCCTAGGCCCATCCTGGGTGGGGGACCTTGCCCTTAACACCAGTTGAGTCTTGTCCCTCTGAATCAGACCTGGGAGTCCCCGAGGGGGGACCGGGCACCCCTGGAGACAGAGGTGTGGGCTCAGGTGCGGGGGGCAGTGGGCAGAATGGCCAGGGCCCACGAGAAACTCCACTGCTGCTCAGTTGGCAAACGTCTGTTTGATGAGGCCCTGGGACCCTCGGACCTGGGAGGCTGGGCTGTGGGGCACCCTGTCTTTCACAGCCCCTGCACCCGGACCAGCATCTACTCTCCCGTCTCTCCCCTCCCCCACACCCTGGACCCAGCCGTCTGTCCCCTCTGCTAGCCCCGCACGTGGGGTGCAGGAAACGGGCTTCTATCCTGGGAGTGTGGAGCACAGGGTAGCCCTACAATGGGGGAGGGCTCAAAATGAGACCTTGCAAAGGAGCCAGGGTCAAGGGGGATCCAGGTGGACACTGAAATCTCCCAGGGGTCATGCAGCATATAGAGCTGGAGACAGCCCAGCGAGAGCAGAGGTAGAGCGTGCAGCCAGGGGAGAAGGGTCTGGAAGCAGCAGGTGGCCCCTGAGAAGGGCACAGAGAGGGGTCTGGACCCACATGATAGTCTCTAGGGCAGGAAGCTGAGGTCGTTGTGGGTCAGGCTGCGGCTGAGGACCCTGAGCCCCAGGGTGTGGTGATGAAGGCATAGAGCTTTGGGGGGACCAGGCACGGTCCCCACGTGTTCACAGAGTCACCCGTCCCTCAGTGCCTGCCTCCCCTCAGAACACCTGAAAGGGGCCTGGGGGTGTGGACCCCAGGGCTGTTGGTCTCAGCGAGAGCCAGGACCGAGGGCCTGCCAGGTCTGTCTTGGCCCTGAGAGAGGAACCATCAGAACCGAGAAGGGGCAGAAGACAAGGGTGTTCCCATGTGAACCCCAGGCAGACACACCGGACCTCAGCTGGGAAGGACACCGGCACCTCTGCAGGTCTGGGGGGAGAGGTGGGCTGCACCCTCTCAGGTGCAGGTGGGGACTGCTCCAACCCCATGGACTACGGATGTCCTGTAGCCTGAGTTCTCCCCACCACCCAAGGCTCTTTCCATCCCGCCCCCACCTCAGACCGAAACGCACCCAGGCACCAGCCCCCACAGCCTGTCCTGTCTGGGGAACATCTGCTGGTCACCAGCTGCGGCTGCCTGAAGCCCCCACAGCTCCCCCTGGTTGCTCCAGCAGAGCTCCCACACCGGGCTTCCCATGACGTCCACTGAAGGTGGCCTCCATCACCCAGAGGTCACCAGCCCTGCCCAGACTCGGTCACTGCCTGTGGGGTCAGGATCACCCCAGTGGGCCTTCCCTCGGGGCTAGCCCTTGGCTCCTTGGGGACAGAAAGACTGGGGTCCATCCTGGAGAGGCCAGGGGGCCCAGAGGAAGAGGGCCAGAGGCTGGGGCCTAGTCCCAGGACAGCAGAAGCGAGGGTTCCCAGACCCGCCCTCAGCTGGGGAAAAGGGAGACGGGGGAAGCTTGGCCCTGACCTTGGGGAGTTCTGGCTGCAGGGAACCAGCGGTACCACGTAGGAGGGTCAGTTGCCCTGGCCTGTACGGCTGGGCAGGACCTATCCTTGTTCCCTACAGTGCCCTGCCCCGTCAGCCAGACTTCTGAGGCTCTGGGGACCTCACACAGGTGGCTTTGCTAAAATCACATCATCTGCCTTTTCTTAAGAAGCAACAAGTCCCAGCCTCCGTGTCCCCAGCTGGAGACTGAGACCATATTGTTCATGACCTGGTAATGGCTGGCAGACTTGGGACTGTGCCCTTCAGGCAGTGGGCACCATGACGGAGGTGACAACAAGGCCCCAGCCCTCCAAGGCCACCAGCTGAACCCCCAGAGTGTGGCCAGGGAAACCACAGCCCGGCACTGAGGGCCATGGGGGGCCATATGGGTAGGGTGGGGGATACCCACGGGGCCAGGTGTGCAGGACTCTAGCTAACTAGGGAGGTGCCTGCAGGTGCATGAGTCAGTCAGTGCTCCAAACACGGCTACCTGAGTTCAGTTCAGGGGAGCTGATGAGGCCCTGGGACCCCAAGGTGTCAGCCCCAGAACCTCGGGCCAATGACAGGACTGCTGGAGCCCAAGCCTGGCACACAGACTCAGGCCCGCGCACACGCACACCTGTACAGCCTCAGGCCCGCGCACACGCACACCTGTACAGCCTCAGGCCTGCACACGTGCACATGCACAGAAGCCAAAGGCAGAAACACCAGCTTAATGGAAGAAGATGCACATTTTCTTGTTTAACAAAATAAATTAAATATACGAAGCTTCAGCTCAAACTCTATATAAAATTACAGAGGTCTGGGGCTGCCACAGGCAGTGGGGTGATGGGTGCCTGGCCCCAAGGTGGCCATCCGGTTGGCCAGCAGGCCAGGTGCGTCCCAGGCCTGAGGACAGGCCTGGTCTGCAGTGCCACCTTCCTTCCAGCATTATTAATATTATTATTTTCATTTCTTAAATATAAATATCAAGGGCCCTTCTCTCTGGCAGTGGGAGGCTGGATGGGGCAGGGTCACCCCCAGGCAGCTCCCGCCTCTCAGAACAGGGGCCTGGACTGCTCTGCCTGACCTCCCAGCCCAAGGGATTGGGGGACTCCTGGACGCCCAGACAGGGGGTGGCAGACATAGCCAGCCGCCCGTGGAGGCCTGGGCAGGGACACGGAGGCCAGCATGGGACAGGGGTCGGGGAGTTTTGGTTTGCAAAGCCAGGGTGCCTCTCAGACCTCCTGCCAGGCACGGGGAGGGGCGGCTTGACCATGGCCCCTGTGAAATCCTCCTTACAGGAGCCAAGGGATTCCTTCATCAACTAGCCCGCTGCTACATGCACACTGCAAAGTTACAAACACAGACCTTCCCCAGGGCGTCTTAGTCTGAGGGTGTGTGTGTGTGTGTGTGTGTGTGTGTGTGTGTGTGTGTGTGTCCAGAGGTATGTCGTACACGTGTGTGCATCATCCAGGGCGCCCGGGGTGCTGACTGTGCCTCCTGCCTGGGCTCCACTCTCTCCGCGGCCCTCTGCCCCAAGCCTGCCCGCCCGCCTGCCCCCCACGTGCCCCCCCCAGCACCCAGAGCGCGAGTGGGCCGGCGCCCCGCATGGCCACACCGTCTAGCACTGGTAGTGGATGTGCTGGTGCTGGTGGATCTTGCCCTCCACGTGAGAGTGTGTGTGTGAGTGCGTGTGTGTGTGCGTGTGTGTGTGCACATCTGTGTAGAGTTTGGGGTAAAGTCTGGGCCCAGCAGATGGGCCCGGGCCCAGCAGGTGCTGGGGAGCTGCTGGAGGCCCAAGATCCTCACACAGCCCCAGGCCAGGGGCAGTGCTGAGGCTGGTTGGCACGGGAAGGTCCTTGTCCCCACCACGGTCACGGGCGGCCACGGGAGGGCGGTGCGCAGGCATGGGGGGGGCGGGCCCAGGTGCACACGGCTTCTTCTTGGCCTGGCAGAGCCACAGGAGCACGGTGCCGAGGATGAAGACGGCGCCGGCCGGGATGCCGATGACCACGGGCCACGGCAAGCTAGTGGTCGAGGACGAGGGGGCCACGGGTGGGCCTGGAGGCTTGGGGTCTGCAAGAGAGGCCCAGGAAGGGGGTGGGGAGAGGAATGTCGCCACGGGTCCCAGGAAAGGCTGCGAGAGGCCGGCGTGTGGCCTCGCGGGGTGGGAGCTGGGCGTGGGGGGGCGCACACACCTGGCAGCACGGTGAGGAAAGCGCTGCGGAAACTGTAGCCCATGGTGTTGGCCCCCAGGCAGATGTACATGCCGGCGTCGTCCTGGCGTGCGCGGGTAATGAGCAGCTTGTTGAGGTAGGAGCCATCGGGCCTCGACCACACGTCGCCCGTGGGCAGCACCACGAACTTCTGGCCGCCCACGTCGATGGTGGAGTTGTAGCGGCCCTCGGCGCCGTATTCCACGCGCTTCAGCCACTGGATCACTGGCTTCACATCACTGCGCACTTTGCACTGAAAGGACGTGGTGCCCCCAAAGTCCACGGTCGTGTTCACGGGGTGCGTGCCCGTGAGGACGGGCTTGGAGCGTGTCCGCTCTGCACGGGGACATGGACATTAGCGCCACCCCTGGGCACCGCCAGCCCCCCACGGTCCCACAGCCCCGGCACTCACGGATCACGTCCACCTTGTAGGTTGCGTTGATGGCGCCTGCGCGGTTGGACACGCGACACGTGTACTTGCCACTGTCCTCGGGACGCAGGTTCTTCAGGCTCAGGGTCCACTTCTTCTTCCTGTGCTCCCCGGCCTCCAAGCCTGTCAAGGCCTGGTCGTCCTTCATCCACATGATGTCGGGCCGCGGGTGCCCACTGGCCACGCACTTGAGCCGCACGGAGCTGCCCACTGGCCGGGCGATCACCCGGCGCCTCATCTTGGAGGGCTGTGTGAAGCGGGGCCGCGCTGCAGGGCGGCCAGCACAGAGGTCAGCACGGCACCGGGGGGGAGGGCCCCCACCCGCACCCACGGAGGAGGGTCTCACCCCACTGCTTGCTGGCTGCGTCCTCCTGGCCCCCGGAGGAGCCGTCCTGCCCCAGACGCTCCCTTCCTGCACCAGGGTCATCTGCAGAGAGGAGGGCACATGAGAGGGGCCCCAGCAGTCCCCACCCTGACCCCAGGCTGGTTCCCAGGCCCCAGCCTTGGGCCCAGCTGGGAAAGCTCTAGAAACACAAATGGGAGCCCCTGGAGGCACGCCCACATCTCAGAATCCCAGAGACAGCCGGGCAAGAGCTGCCTGCCCAGCCTACTCCCTGGGTGCAGGTGACCCCAACAGAGCTGCCCCCCCCGGCTCCGGGGGGTCTGCAGGGCCAGTGGGAGGAGGGGGCCAGGCCCGCCCAGCAGCTGCAGTAACCCTAGCCCACATCAAGGAGCCGAGGCCTTGGTGAGCTGACATGGCTCGCATACCGCCTCGTCATCCTCCCCTTTCAAAGGACAGTGGGGGGGACACCAGCAGTGTTCCCATCCCACAATCTGGAGCAGGGGGCCCAGCGGGGGTGGGGCAGGCTGAGGAATGCCCCTCCTGGGACAGCCGCCTCCACCCAGCCGGGGACCGAGGGAGGGGGTGGCACAGGTCAAGCGCTCCTGCTTTGAGAGATGGGCCACCATGACTGCCAGGGAGCCCCACCCACAGGGACCCACCCGGGGAGCCCATGGGGGAGGGCCAGGCGTGCAGAGGGTGTGTAGCTGGGGACCCCGCCAGTCCCCAAGCCCGGGCCCCAGAGGCAGAACAGAACAGAAGGCCCTTGGCGGCCCCTCTGAACTCTGAAATCTGAGCCTCAAAGTCAGAGCCGACGCAAAGGCCGCCAGCTTGCCCAGCCGGCCCTTTAGTGGGACCACCACCCTTGGGCCCCCCGTGCCCACTCCTGCTGCCCCCTAGCCAGCCTTGGTCTCCCTGTCAGCAGAGCTTGGGGACCCCAAGGCACAGGCCTGGGGGGGTGACCACAGAGGTCAGGCCCTATCCCGGGCTCAGAGGAGATCCGGCAGGTGGGTGTCCTCCTGGCAGCAGTGGGGAGGGAAGGTCCGCTCCCCAGGCTGCATGGACTCAGGGCCCACATGGCACAGCCCCGGCGTGGCCATCACTGACCCATCACGATGAGGGTGTAGTTGACGCTGAGGCTGCCAAAGCCATTGGTAGCCTTGCACACGTAGGCGCCGGCGTCTTCCCGCTCCACCTCCTTCACCTTCAGGCCCTGGGGCAGCACACGGAAGCGGCTCCAGCCGCCATGGATTGTGCGGCCATCCTTGGTCCACATGGTTAGTGGCGGCGGGTCACCCTCCACAGGGCACTGCAGCCGCACGGTGCGACCCAGCCGGGCCACCTGCCTCGAAACCACCTTGTCCGCCATCCTCGGGGGACCTGCGGGCAGGTCAGAGGGCTCAGTCAGGGAGGAGGGGGTGGCAGGTGGTCAGGAGTGCAGGCAGGCATGCATGCTGGGAGCCAGGGGAGGGGGGTGTCCCCCGTAGGGTCACCACCTGGGACTCCACGCACCTACACCTGCCCAGCCCAGGCAGTGGGGTCTGGAGCACAGGGCCCTGCTCCCAGACTGGGGTGGTCAGCATTCACGCGGAACCCGCTGCCCGCCAGGCACCCCAACTCCCTGTACGTGCCGTCACAGAGGAGCCAGGATACAGATGGGCTGGAGTGGCTCAGCCAGGATGCACGTCCACAGGCGAGCCAGGACAGCCCCCACGGCCTCCCGTAGAGGGAGGGAGTCCATGCAGCACGAACAGACGTGTCTGGTGGCCCATGTCTGTGGCTGTCTGCATCTGCCCGGCTGAGGGCCTCCCCGATGCCAGCCTCAGCACACCAGGAGGCTGGGCGGAGTGGCATGGTGGGCCGGCAGGACCCCGAGGCCCTGGGGCCAGAGGGCAAGCAGCGAGGTTCCCATCTGGCTGGCAGCCCCCTGCCCGTTGTCCCCCAATGGAAGAAGCCCAAGTCACCGGCGGGAAGAAACCCACTCCCAGCCATGTCAGGCCACAGCCAGCATCAGTGCCTCTGTGGTGCAGGGACAGCGGGCACGCCCAGCCGCTGGGAAGGACACTGCAGGTGTCCGAGAGAGGCGGGGCCACCTTCTGGCCCACACTGCAGCTCCTGCACCATGGGGTGACCACAGGGGCACTGAGCTCTTACACTCACCCCACCCACGTTCCCTCAGACCAGGAGAGGCGGCTCCGGGCACCCCACTGCCCTTCCCAGGGTCCTGGCTGGGCCCAGCTCCCGAGACCCTGCCCTCCGGCTGTTGGTCGGGGGCACTCACCCCACAGTGCGGCCACTCAGGCCAGGAGGGCCAGCATCCCGCGTCCTGGCCTCCCGGAGGCGCCGGGCGCTGGCTGCTGGGAGACGCTGTCGCTACGGGGCCTGAGGGCAGCACGTGTCCCTAATAACCAGCCGGTATTTCTTCAGCGCGTGATCACCAGCTGCTCTGTGGCCGGCCTTTGCATCCAGGACCCAGAGTGCTTCCGCAGGCTCTTTGGAGGCTCGCCCTCTCCCACCCCCAGGGGACCCTTGCAGAGCACAGCCCAGCACCACTGGTCTGCAGGCGCTGAGGGGAGGTGGGGCCGGTCCCCATTTGGATGCAGGGAGCTGACAGCCCAGAGTCCAGGCAGGGAGGGGCCCAGCTTTGCTGGGGGAACAGGGAAGCGGGGGACACAGCAACACCAGGCCCTTCCATGGCCACAAGCAAAAAGCAAAAAGGGAGCTAGAGGTTGTGGGGGAGGGCCCTGCCCAGCTCCTGCCTGCTCTCCCACCCTGCCCCACCGAGCCCACCCCTAGGAACGCTTCTTCTCTGCACCCATATTCTGCCTCTGCTAGGGTCCCCCCGACCCCTGCCATGGGGCTCCTAACATGGGCCCCAGGCCATCCCTGCACTCCTCACCAGCCCCCAGTGCCCCGGGAAGGGGCTGCTGAGATCTACTGCTCCCTAATTTCTCAATTGCATATGGGGCCCCCAGACAACCCCCAACTTGCAGGGGGACAGGCTGCAGGGCCCACAGACAAGTGGGTCTCCTGAGGCCCCCAGCGCACAGGGTCCCGGCCTCACTCCCAGGCCGCCACCGTCCGACACCTGTCTCTGCCTGCAATCCCACTATTCAGAGGGGCCGCCCCCCAGCCTGCCCAGTGCCTCCGAGGCTGACACCTGCGTGTGCACACAGACCCAAAAAACCACCTGGCAGGTGCCAGGGGCTAGCACGGGGTCCCTCTCTCCCAGGGCTTTGCCTGTCCCAACCCCACCCTGGCCAGCACAGCCCCCGCCTCGGAAGAAGCCTGCGTCAGGGACAGACAGAGGACCCATCGGACAGTGCTTGCGGGAGCAGGAGGGGCAGGAGGGGCACCCCCAGCCCCGCCACCTCCCTGCACCAGGCAGGCGAGTTTGAGGAGCTGGGGGGGCGGGGGGGGGGCATCTACTGGGCCTCAGAGGCCACTGTGCAGGAGAGAGGAGGACAGAGCTAAGTGACCACCAGACGGACCGGAAGTGTGGCCCAGAGGGCCGGCCGGCACACAGTACAGGGGACAGGCAGGCGGCAGCCAGAGGCCCCAGCCAGAGCCAGCCTTATCCTAAAGCAAACAGCCCCCTCCCCTCCCCCTGGGCCAGGCCTGCCCTGCCCCCTCCACCCCTGCCTCTGCAGAGACCCCAGCAGGCTCACCGGAGGGAGCCCCCCCAGATTCCTGGGGATTTTGGCTGCCAGCTTGGCTGCCGCGGCTCTATATTTAGCTTGGGAAAGACAAGCCCCCATTGTTCCACCTGGTCAGGTGTCCAATCCACCCAGCCAGAGGCAAACTGAGGCAAGAGCTGAGGCAGCTGGAGGGTGTACGGGTCGGGGGTGGGGGGCAGCCAGGTTCCCACCAGTTCTGGGGCAGCCCCTGGAGTCCTTCAGCCAGCATCTGCACTTCCCCACGAGCACCTCCTCCAAGAAGCCCTCAACCCTCCACACACTGTAAGCCACAGCCTTGGGCAGTTCTGGGCATGGGCAGGGTGTGGACAGCCACATGGAGGGGGCAGGCATGGGGGCAAACGGAGGCCGGGGCTGGGTCTCACCCCTCAAGGGGGCTGAGCATCAAGGTGGTGGCAGAGAGAGGGTCACCACACCCCCCTTCCTCCCTCCCTCCTCCCCAACAGCTGTGAAAACATGGCCAGGAGCGGGGGTGCCAGGAGGGCTCAGGGGGCAGCAACCCGGAAGACCCCACATATCCAGCCTACACAGCCAGGCTTCCCAGCCGCCATCCAGAACTCAGGTGTCACACATACACCCTATCATGCCATCTCCCAGACACTGTCCCCCAGACACACGAGCTGTCCCCCACTGTCCCCCAGAAACACAGGCTGTCCCCCAGATACAGGGGCTGCCCCCCACTGTCCCCCAGAAACACAGGTTGTCTCCCACTGTCCCCCAGACACACGAGCTGTCTCCCACTGTCCCCCAGACACTGTCCCCTAGACACATGGGCTGTCCCCCACTGTCCCCCAGAAATACAGGCTGTCCCCCAGACACTGTCCCCCAGACACTGTCCCCTAGACACACGGGCTGTCCCCCACTGTCCCCTAGACACACAGGCTGTTCCCCAGACACTGTCCCCCAGATGCACCCACTAACCCACAGACAGTCCCCCAGGTACATGCACACACAGAGAGACATACCCCAACAGTGGATGCAGACTCCCCACACCAGAGACCCCCTTGCCCTACCTGCTGAGAGCACCGTTTCCCAAGGTTTAGCAAAACCAGGTTCCACTGGAACCTCAGCTGATGTCCCTCCCATCGCAGTGGGCCCTAGGAGGGCTGAAGGGGGCAGGGCCACTGGGAAGGATGGAGAGGTGACACAATGTGGAGGCAGAGGAACATGACCCCCAACTGCAGCCTATCCCATGTAGTTTTCACAGACCCTCCAGGGCCACCTGAAGCTCAGCCCCCGCACCTCACTAACCCTCATGGTCTCTGCACTGCCCCTCCCCTCGATGCACCTCCCAACATCCCCTCCTCCCTGCCCTCCGCCGGGGGCTGCAGTGCCCCTTTCGGGTGAACCACGTCTGAACCACACCCAAGGCCCTGCTCTGTTCAGGTCTGTCCAGGGCCTGGCTGGGGGGGCATTCCACGTGTCAGCTTCTGCCTCCCTCCACTGCCCAAGGCATTCGTGACCTGCTGACCCTGAGCGCCCTTCCCAAGGAGCTGGACCAGGCACTGCCCCTCCCCGGGGCCCCATGTGCCGGGGGCTTCACCCCGTACCAGCCCACAGCGCCCACACTGGGGCCATGGACACAGGTGGAAGTGAGGGGTGCAGGAAACCACGGGGCCAGCACATGGGGGCTGGCTCCATTCCCAGTCAACCCTGAGAAGCCCCAGAAATTTCCAGCCCGGAAGGAACCCTCTGGCTGGGGGTAGGTGGTCGTCAGGCTGACCTCGTTGGGACTGGCCATGAAGTGACTTTGGACGCCAGCCAGGAGCCGCCAGAGCCCTCCCCTCCTGGAGAAGGCAAGTGGCCTGGAAAGAAGACTCAAAGGACAGTGTGACAGGGCCTGACCAGAGGGCAGGGAGGGGAGGCAGGGCCTGCCTAGCCTGGCTGGACACCCTGGACCAGGCAGGGCAGGTGGGCACTCTCTGGGAGAGCGGGGGGGTCCCTGTGCTGATGCCCACGGTGAGCAAACTCTGGTGCAGGGGCGGAGCTGGGAAGGCCCAGCCACGGAGGCCCTGGGGCCAGTGCCCTCCCCAAGAAGGCCTAGGAGGCAGGGAGGCCAAAAAGAGGGGGCACAGATGATGACCACCGCAGGGCGGCCACGAGAGGCAGGGGAGCCTCTGCCCTGGCTCTGAGCCACGCAGGTACATGTGCGCACACACGCGCGCGCGCGCACACACACACGCACACACACACACACACACACACGGGCTCCTAGTCACCAGCAGGCCCAGGGCGGCCCCTGGAGGCTGGACCCACGGGATCTGCGATGGAACTGGTAGGACCCGAAGGGCAGGTGGTTGCCCCAGAAACCAGGCCGTTCTGGGCGCAGCAAAGGGACAGCTTGACCCACCGAGCAAGCAAGCTGGCTGGGCTGTCCTGTCCAACCCACTGCCCAGCAGCACAACGTAAGGCAACAGGCTGGGTGGGGCCCTCTAGGTCCGTCCCCTGCCCGGGAAGCCCCCAGGTGGACCTCCAGCAGAGCCCTGACCAGGGCTCCTCCTCGTTGCCATTCCCAAGGCACACATGGGAGCCACAGAGCGTCCCCTGACATGCTGTTGCCCCGGGGGTCCCCACAGGAACTGCCACAGAACCCACCCAGAGGGCTCAGCTGGACGCCCCGGTGGCTGCATCCAGAGCTTGCCAAGTCTGCCAGACTCCGAGCGGACCCCTGCCCACACCTGCCACCCATCCCCCACCTCACAAAACGTCCTGCACCTAGAACTGGTCCAGCACCACCGGCTCCCCAGAGGGGCCCAGCCCCAGTCCCAGCAAAGGAACCAAGAAGGCGCGGTCCCCTGGGCCTCCCTCCCATGCTGGCGCTGTACCCAAGGGACAGGGTAACATGACAAGAGGCCCAAACCACCCGCAGGGCTCACCCGCTGTGGCCTCTAACCTGCATGGCTGGGTGTTTCCTGAGCCGGGGCCCCGGGGCCCCGGGGCCAGGGGCCGGCATTTAGGCACCAAGGTGCCACCTTCCTGTGAGGGCTTAGGCGCTGGACAGCCCAACCCACCCGGCAGCCTGGGCAAGTCCCGGGCCACAGAGCCCCGCGCTCCCACCCATACCTGCTCCACCCAGCCCCCGTGTCCGCGGCCGTCGGCCCACAGCCAGCTTCTTGCGGACAGACCCAAGGGCATGGGAGCTGGGACCCCTGAGGTCCCTGAAGCCTGCAGGGTGAGGCTACCCAGCTCAAGGCGCACACAGTACCTGCTGCCCGGGCTCCACAGAGAAGCCCGCGGACCCTGCCAGAATGGGCCAGCCGCTACAGAGTGCAGGGGGCACTGGCCGGTGGCCCTGGGTCTCCTGGGGCTCAGCACGGTGGAGTCGGAGGGGATCACTGCCCAGTGGGGGCCCAGGCCAGAGCTGGGCCCAGCTCCCTCCCCACTGCCTGCTGACCCAGGCCCCATTATTTCTTCACAGTGCAGGGCTTGTGTAAATCTCTAGCAAACTGGGGAAGAAAGCCATTGTTTCCTGCCAAGAAGGGAAGCCCTGGAGGTCAGCAGGCCTGAGGCTGGAGCACCGTCCCTGCCACACTGTCTCCAGCATTTCAGGGACAGTCCTGGAAGCCCCTGCCTCAGGCTGGTTCTCCCCAAGGGGGCCGGGCCATGTGGGACGAAGGGTGTGTAGGGCCCCCCAGGCCCTCCAGCCTCGAGGCCTTGCCCCCAGCCACTCACTGGGGGCAGGAAGCCCACCCCCAGGACGCCCCCAGCCCCTGCTCCCTGCACCCCAGCCAACCAGCCTCTCGGCCCAGTCCCGGCCTGTGCCTACTCATGGCCCCCAATCCAGCTACACCAAGGCACCCGTGGCCCCAGGATGCGTACCCCAGTCAATGTGACCGGCCCACCTCTACCCAGACTATTCCCCCACCTGGAGGCTTTCCTCTCCTCACCTGACCAGTACCCACATCTCCTCCCGGACTGTGCTGCCTCTCCCCAGGCCCTCACCCCCCCCTCCCCTAGCCTTCATGGACTGGGGGCCAGCCTCACTGCGGCTCCAGCCTGAACTAGCCCAGGGCCGTGGCCCCTGCTCTCCTCGGGCCCCAAGAGTAGCCACACTGGACACCCACGGGCCTTGGCCAGGAGCATGTAGTGACCACCACTAGGAAGATGGCAGGCAGACTGGGCGGCAGCACGGGGTGCAGCGTCTGTGGGGTCTGGAGACAGTGGCCTGGGCACACCCTCCCCTCCACGTGCTGATCCTGCCCATGGAGGCTGTCACCTGGACATGCCAGGGCCGCAGTCACTGGGAAGGCACAGAATGCCAGCCACCAGCAGGGAAACGGCCAGCAGCAAGGCCCCCGGCCTGCAGGACCACGCCTGCCTCCGCGAGCACGGTTAGCACTGCCTGAACCCCAAGCCAGAGGCTGAGGCCACTGCTGGGAAAAACCAACATTTCCCCATGGCACTGGGCGGGGGTTGAAGGCCCATTGATTCCCGCACAATGAAGAAGGAGCCTGCGGTAGGAGTTTCCAGGCCCAGCCAAAGGCGACTTTGTTCCTAGCTCCCTCCTCCCCCCAGAGGGGACAGTGATTTATTTTCTCTTCCAGGAGTGGGGCCCGAGACATAAATGGGGCGGCTGGCCTGCATCCCCACCTCACAGCGCCTGGGCCCAACTCCCGCACATCCACCTCAGCTGGGGGTGCACACTGGGCAGCCGCTGCCCGGAGGGGTTGGGGGGAAGGCCCCCTGCAGCCTGGCCAGAGGCCAAGGTCAGCCAGCACACACGCACACCACGACAGCCCTCCGGCTGAACCACGCACACTGGAGGACCCTTCCCAACACAGCCCGCATGGCAAGAAGGCACCATCCCCATGGAGTGGGGCACCCAGCGGCCAGCACCCAGCCCTGGGGGGGCAGCGCTCGGCCCTAGCAGGGCAGGCCAGCAGGGTTCAGAGGACAGGGAGGTGACCTCGAGGGCGGGCTGCTCAGAGACCTGTCCACCGCATCCTCCTTGGAAAAGTTCAAACGGGACAACCCCTTCCACAAGTTCTTCTAAAGCTATTTGGGAAGGGTATGTCATTTGGAACCTCTCAAGTTCCCACTGTGAGAAACCCGAATCCTATCTTCCCTCAAATTTGGAAAAAGCTGTTTAAGACAAACCCACCATGATTGTGAAACTTCCAGAAAGGGGAACTTTAAAAACATGATCTGAGTCTAGAGACGCACTGACTCCAGAAAGCATGACGCATGGGGAGGACAGCTTTCAGAAAACAGCCCGGCTCTCTCTGCACCGCTCTGCCTGCCTGAAGGAAGTCGGCGCTCGGTCTGCTCACCCACAGAGCCGGACGCACCGAGTGGCCGTGCCCCTCAAGGCCAGGCCTGAAGCAGAAGCCAGCACAGTTCAGGAGCAGGGGCCCCAACACCCCACCCCCCAAAGCCACACAGGTCCTTGCCCTTGCAGAGTAGCTCTCAGGTCCCTGCAGCCGCTAGGGCCGTGCACAGCCAGCATGAGGGCTGGGGCTGCAGACCAGGCGCAGTCCCCAGGCCAAGGCGGAGGGGAACAGAGGAGGGTGCGGCCCCTCCAGGGCCCCCTGGCACAGAGGCAGGCCCTGCCGCCCACTGCCATCACGGCCATCCGCCTCTCTGCGGTGGGCTCCAGCCAATGACCAGGCCAGGACAGCGGCCTCCAGAGCTGGCTGAGTAGCCAGAGGACAGGCAGGTGTGGAAATGAGGGGAGTCCAAGCAGATAAAAGAGGAATCAGAATCCAGGCTGCCGGCCACTGGGGGCGGGGGGGGGGTGCCTTGCTGGGTATGACCTGAGTGCCCGCCGTGCCCAGGACACTGCCAGGCCCAGCCACGCCTGGACAGCCCCCACCCTTAAGCCAGCGGGCCAGTCCCCAGCCGGGCAGGCGGGGGGGTACTGTGGCATTAGGCCCACCTGGGCTGCCGCCTGCCACCCAACACCCAAACGTGCCCATATAAGGCCGGGCTGGGCTCGGTGCACCCGCTGGGTGGCGGGGGAGGGGTGCAAAGCCTCACAGGACTGGTGGACAGGGCAGGGACGTTCCTGAGTGGTCAACACACCCGAAGGCCTGGCCAAAGGGCCCGCCTAGCTGAGGAGAAGCCAGTGCAGAATATGGCGGGCGGGAGTCCGCGAACACGTATGTCCCATCACCCGCCAGCCAAGGATGTACCTTGCTGGGGCTGCGTACAGGGGCAAGGGTCCCCTCAGGAGACATTCCAGGCCTGCCTACTTGGACATCAGGTGTGTGAGCATATGCATCTACGTCCTGGCATGGCACACGCCGACACACAGCATATGCAGGCTGAAGCAGGTGGTCCTCTGGGTGGGCCTTGAGACAAGCCCCTACCCCCTACACCATGCAGCAACTCCACGTTCCCCCAGCCCCTACCCTCTAACTTTCTAGGGATGGGCAAGCTCAGGGCACAGGGCTGGGTCATGAGTCCCAGACACTAACAATGTCCCCACTGTCCCCAAACCCCATCCTGGCCACCATGGGGGTCTCTGCAGGTTCCCAGGGGCCTAAATGGGTCCACTGTGACAAACAGCCTACCCCACCAAAATCCCCAGGGTAACCAGCTGCCCTCAACTTCAGATACATATAGATGTGCGTGTGTCCTGAGGGGACTGGGGCCAGAGCCCATTCTGCCAGCAAGTGTGGGGCCCCACAGGTGAGCCGGGGTGATATTTCGGTGAGAGGGGCCCTGTGGGTGAGGTGTGCCCACTCAGTGAGCATGGAGTCCCAAGGGTGAGCTGGTGGTGATCTGGGGATGAGCTGCGGGACCCTACAGATGAGCTGGGGAGGGGCATGGTGAGCTAGGGATGCCCTAAGGGTGAGCTGGCGCACCCCATGGGCAAAGGGAGGTGTACCCTGGGGGTGAGCCCGGGGGCCCAGTGGTGAGAAGACCCGCCAAGCTCCGGGCCAGTAGGGGCGGGGCGCAGGCACGCGCGCCAGCCGGGCACTGTGGCAGGGTTCAGGGCCGGGAGGGAAAGGGGCGGCGCTGGCGCAGGCCGGGGCGCCGGGCTGGGCGCCAGGACTCACCTCGGGCGGCGGCGGCCGGCGGGAGGGCCCCCAGCAGCAGCGGGGGCAGCAGCAGCAACAACGTGGGGCTGGGCGTCATCTTGGCCTGTCCGGACCTGGAGGTATTGAGGGTCGGTCACTGGCGTACGGGGCAGGAGTCGCCACCCTTTAGCCTAGGGCGCCGGAGCCGGCTGCGGGGATCGGGGTGCGGGCCGCCCCGCCTTCCCTGCCAGCGCTCCGGGCGGAGGAAGCAGCGGCGGGGAGCACCGTGGGTATCAAAGGCAGACAAAGGGTTTACACTAATTACCGGCCTCCCCCGCCGCCCCCCGTCTCTAAACACCGTCTGGATTCCTGGCGCTTGTAACTCGGGCCCTGCCCGCGGGACACACAACACCGGCGGCCGCGCAGATAATCGCCTGCGCCATTAGCGGACAAATTTGCGCTTGGGGGGGGGGCCCCACGTGGGGTGCAGGGGCGGGGGCGGGGCGCGGACAGGACCACTGGCTCGGCAGGGGCGGCGGCGGCGCGTGCCGGTGCCCGGCGGCCTCGCACCCGGCCATCCGGGACTCGGACCCTCCCAGCCCCCGGCCAGATCCCGGACCCCGGACCCTGGTCGTCCCCAGTCGGCCCTCCCAGTCGGCCCCCCGGGGGTCGCGGGCGCGGAGGGGCTCACCTCGGCGGGGCAGGCAGGCAGTGGGGCTCAGGGCCGGGCCCGCGGGACGCGCTGCGCGGTCATCGCCGCCCGGGGCGCCTCACCCCGGCGCCCCGCGCCCCCGGGCCCGGCCTCGGGACGGGGCGGCGCTACCTGGGCGCGGGCGGCTCGGGCCAGGACCCGCGCCGAGGCCGGAGTCCGGAGGCAGCGCGGGCGGAGGGGTCGAGTCCAGGGGCTGGAGGCCGGGGCCGGGGTCCCGGGGCGGCAGGGCGAGGGGCCCGGGGCGCCGCGCCGCGAGGCGTCCTTCCCTGCGGGGCTTTGTCAACTCTCCCGGAGCGAGCGCCGAGCCCGCCGCGCGCCCCGCCCCGACACAACTTCCCTCCAATCGGCTCGCCCCGGCTCGCCCCGCGCCCGCCCCGTGCCCGCCCCGCGCCCAAACTTTCCCCCAATCCGCGTGCGCCTGCCCCGCCCGCCGGGCTCTGGATCTTAACCCTCGCGGTGCGGGCGGCCTGCGGGCGGGGCGGCTCCCTGGGGCGCGGCCCCGCCCCCAGCCCCCGCCCTCCGCCCGCCCCGGGCCGGGCCCGGTCCCCGGCCCCTGTCCGCCCCACCCAGCCCAGCCGCCCCGCCCCGCCCCCGTCCCGCCCCCATCCCACCCCCGCCACGCCACGCCTCCCCGGCCCCCGGCCCGTTTGTCCCCGCCACCCCAGCCTGGCCCCCCGCCACTCCGGTCCCCAACCCCACCCCGCCCCGCAGCTGCCCGCCCTGCCCCGCGCGCCCCCAGGTGCGGCGGCGCGCACCCCATACCTGCACCCACCGTGCCTGAGCACTCCTGGTACCCTCAGAGCTGGCCGCGATCGAACCCACGGCCACCCGACCTCTGGCCAGCCCTGACCGCAGCTAGGCCATCTCCTGGTTGCCCAGGAGGGGCGGACAGGATGGCCGCAGATCTCTCCGGGCCTCGGGATCCACGTCCTCGGGGAGCCGCTGGGAGCAGTGGAGAGATCTAAGACCCAGCTCTGTTCCCAAGTGGCTCCGGGAGAAGGGAAAAAGTCTCCGGTGAAGCGGGGCACAGAGGTTCTGCCCCGGCGCCCCGGCTCACCCCGCAGCCTGGACGGAAGGCAGTATGTTTCTACCGCCCACCTGTCACTGGTAACCCCAAGGACACTAACAATAGTAATAGAGACCAACACCCATCGCGCCTTCTTTAATCCTCACAGGCAGGCAGGTGCCTTACTGTCACCTGATGCAGATGAAGGAACAGAGGCACACAGAAGGCAGGTAGTTCGCCCAAGATTTCCCAATGGGCAATCAGCATGTCCAGGATTGAAACCACGTGTTGTGGAGTCCAGCTTTCCTGGTTGTTTCTCCACACTGCCCCAGCTGCCCTTGCCCTGCTCAGCACCTGCACATTCTGCCCCGCCTCCCACACCTTCACCCACTAGGGCCTCCTCCCCGTCCTCTCTGATCTGAAGACGGGGCCAGGCTCTCCTCGGCTTCCCTCCACTGTCACTTCACCGGAATGGACAATCATCATTTTAAAATACAACCATGATCTTGCTGTGGCTCCATAGTGCCCTCAACATAAACCCCATGACCCGTGAGGCCCTGGATGCCTGGGTCCCAATCACGTTCCCTCCCCCCACAAACTCTGGCCAAATAATACCCCCTCCACCACATGCAGGAGCCTCTCAATCTGTTATCCATGCTGCTCCAACAGGAACTCCGCTTAGGAGTCCCCTCTTCCAGGAAGCCTTCCAGGGAAGACTGAAACCGCAGAGGCCTTGCAGACCAACATTCCCAAGGCAGAGAAGAGCTGGGTGAGGGCGTGCCAACAGTCAGGGTTTGGGGCCTAGCAAGGCCCAGACTGCCCACCCTTCCCAAGCAAGTGGGAAGGCAGACCCTGTCTCCAGACCAGTGTAGGCACCTCATGGATGGGCAGAAGTGAGCCCAGCCAACCTTGTCCTGTCTGCAGCCTGAGTGAGGGCCCAAAGGGCAGACCTGAGTAGCCCTCTCGCACTTGCTTCAGGCCCTGCAGATGGGGAGGAAGCAAGGAGAGCTGGTTTAGGGCCCACCTGAGACAGGGGAGGGGGCACTGGCACTGGGGGTCACGGGCAGGTGCTCTGGGACAGAATGGGCAGGTGGGCGGAGGGGGTCTCGGCTGGCTCAAAGGCTGCCACAGACTTCAGAAACAGGTTTGTGAGGAGACACAACTGGAGCGTGAAAACCTCCAACAGGTGTGTAGGCCGCCAAAGGCAGGTGTGTGAAAAGGTGGCTCTGAAGTGGGGGGAGGTCAGAAACAAGGAAGTGGGCTGAATGAGAGGCAATCCAATGCAGTGTGGCGGATAAGATGAATAGTAGGGAGGAAGCATGGGCCCGTGAGCGGCCCCAGGCCGGGGGGAGAGGAGGCACGGCCCACCAGTGGGTACTGGGTGGGGAGGGTGCCAGAGAGCTACTCTGGGGCGTCCAGTGCCGCTGGCCCACTTCCCTGTTCCGGGACACACTGCTCCCTGACACAGGCACACCGAACGGGGTGGCCCCCACCAAAGGGCACCCAGCTCCCCTCCCCGGCCTCGCCACTTCCCAGCCCTCAGGCCCATCTTTTTGGGGTTCCCCAGGTGGGAGCCAGGCCTGCCTGAATGTCCAGCCCAGGCCACTTCCTCCAGGAAGCCCTCCCACTGGCAAGCTCCCACTGCTCCTTCATGACAACTGACCTGAAATACCAAACTGGTTCAAATCCTGCCCCTTTAGCAGAGACTTAACACAACTGGCCACCCTCTCTGTCTCCCCCACCCACAATCCGACCCACAGAATTATCATGGAGATCACAAGAATTTCTGTCTCCTACCTGCCTGGCACAGCTGAGCCCCCCAAAATATGTTGCTCTTCATATTATCCTTCAACCATGACAGGCTGCTCCCTGGCTCTGTGCCAGGTTCTGCCAGCGGGGCTAGAGACGTGGGGTTTTGCCAGGAGGACAAGGCCCCCATCCCTACGAAGAGATGGCATCTTCATAGCAGGTGTAATGACTGAGAAATGCTTCAGGTGGTGGAAAGTGCTTGGCAGGAAACTTAAACCTGCTGATGTACAGGCTTCTGCCTCTGCTCCAGATGAAGTAACAGGGACCAGATTCACATGTTCTCGCCTGAAACAGGGAAGAAAAAAAGGCAGAGATAAATATATGTGAAAAACGGCACCCAAAACACAGAACATTACAGAGCAAGGGCAGTGATCCTTGAGATGGGGAACAAATGAGGGAGACTATGACCGTCCCTACTCCCTGCCTGGAGAGAATTTCCAGGGTTAGTGTAGGCAGTTGGGACCCAGGCAGTGCCCAGAGGTCTCCCTCAGCTGAGGGGATGGAGCAGGGAGTCCCAGGAGGGCAAGTGGCCAGAGTCCGCAGGGCAGAATCCTGGAGAGGAAATAGCTGTGCAGAGAGGAATCCCAGGGATCTACAGAGGTTTCAGCTGACTGTAGGCTGCCACACCCAACTTAGGGGAAGAGCCACACAGAAGGGTGAGCCCACAAACAGTGGGAATAGCGCCCGTTTCTGACAGCCAGCATTGAGAACCTCCTAAGTTGAGGGGCGTCAGTTAGAGTAGAAAGAAGAGTTTTGCCTCAGTAGCAAGGAAAAATCAACCTTAGGCTACATGTAGTTCTGGTCCAGTCCAACAAAGCTTAAAAACAAGACCGAAAAGGATTATACAAGTTCCAAGTAACTTAACTACATCCCAGAAAGAAATATAAGGATATTTACAGAAATATGAAACTATCCAGCACCCAAAAATGTAGAATACACAATGTTTGACATACAACCAAAAATCATTAGGCATGAAAAGAGGCAAGAAATTAAAACCCATAATGTGGGGGGAAATCAATCAAAATTAACTCAGATGTGACAAAGGTGAGACTTAGTAGGCACACTTACTGAGACAATACTCCATATGTTCAAGATGCTAGAGGAAAGACTGCATATGTTAAGTAGAGACATGGAAGATTTTTTAAAGCCTCAAACTGAACTTCTAGAAATGAAAATTAAAACATCTGAGATAAATAATATGTTGAATGGGATTGATGGAATATTGTGCAAGAAAAAATTGCGAACCTGAAGTCATAGCAATAAAGACTATCCATATGAAACACAGAGACAAAAAATGACTGAAAAGAGAAATGAACAGTGTCAGTGAGCCATTGGGCAACTCCACATGGTGAATTACAGGTGGACTTGGAGTTGCCAGAGGATAGGAAGTGCTGGTGAGAAAGAAAAAGTATCTTAAGAAAATGGCCAGAAATTTTACAAATGTAATGAAAAACATAAACCCACAGTTCCCAAAAGCTCAACAAAACTTAAGCACAAGAAGCATGAAGAAAACTACACTGAAGCATGTACATCATTCTCAAAATGCTGAAGAACAGTTATAAAGATAATAGCTTAAAAGTATCCAGGGGATGGGGCATCTGGGTGGCTCAGTGGGTTAAGCGTCCAACTCTTAGTTTCAGCTTGGGTCATGATCTCAGGGTTGTGGGGTTGAGCCCCATGTCGGGCTCTGCGCTCAGTGGGGAGTCTGCTTGGGATTCTCTCTCCCTCTGCCCCTCCCCCTATGCTCTCTTTCTTTCTCTCTCAAATACTTAAGTCTTTCTTAAAACAAAATGTAGGGCGCCTGGGTGGCTCAGTTGGTTAAGTGTCTGGTCCTGGAATCGAGTCTCGTGTTGCGCTCCCTGCTCAGCGGGGAGTTTGCTTCTCCCTCTGCCTCTATCTGCCGTTCTGCCTACTTGTGCACTCTCTATCTCTCTGTCAAATAAATAAAATCTTAAAAAAAATAAAATAAAACAAAATGTATCCAGGGGAAAAGTTTTGTATACAGGAGCAAAGAAAAGGATGTTCTGTTGATGTCTTGTTGGATGAAAACAATGCATGCAAAACAGTGGAGCAATCTCTTTACAATACTGAAAAAAGAAAACCTGCCAACCTGCATTCTTTATTAGTAAAAATGTCATTTAGAAACAAAGATGAAATTAGGACTTTTTCAGACAGAAGGAGCTGGAATAATTAATCATGAGCAAATCCATACTACAAGAAATGTTAAAGGACATCC